AATCACTTATGAGGTTCTGTGACTTAAAAGGCAGTTGCCTATTTAGAAGTAGACAGAACTACAGCTCACTTAGTTTTGGAACAGAGCTCATGAGTACCAATGCGAATTCCTAAGTAAGCAAAAAGCAAATTCATAAAACAGCGATAAATGTACTGTAACAGTCAGCAAGATTTAGCTTCAGATACACAACCTACAAATCAGGTTTTGAAGGTCGCTAGACTCGCTACCGTGTCAGCGCTACAAACTCTGCTTTGATTAACAGTCATTCCATCTGAACCAAGTAGATAAATCAAGCTTGTCACGCCAACACCATCTGTACCTGTAGGGTTAACAAATACATTCTGGGCTGATAACTGAGTGCATTGCCTACTTTTACAGTACATTTAGGACTTAGACCAATCAGTGGTCATTTAGCAGATGCTTTTATATAGAGTGACCTGCACTACACACATTATATTGACAGACCACCCTAAACAACCTGAGGTTAGCTAGGCACAACTGTGCACTGGCAGAGCTTAAACTCACAACCTTTATAACCACTATGCCACACAAATCATATTTAAAGCTCACTTCACTCTACACATCTCCTCGTTGCCAGAAGAACTTGTGCATGTGGTAAACAGAAAGTTTTCTAACGCTGTCAAATGGTGTCACTGTGGCAACCTCAGAACTCCACAACTTCACCATGGAAATCAGTGAGTGCAGCCTGCACTATGATTCACCGGAGACTTGTTAAAGACCTTAAATACTGACACACACCTTGTTAAACGCTTCCATTATCATGCATGAGAGTCTGGTGGGTGTGCACTGTCTAGTCCATTTCAGCTGGTTGAGTTGTCATTGGCAAGAAGGCAGATGATGCTCATAGAGATTGAATGGGTGGTCCAAGACGTAAAATGGTCAAAGCAAACAAAGATGTTTCAAAGCCAAGTCAACTCTGTAATCGCAAAAGCATGCATGCCGTGCATTTCCATTGTCAGGGCTCAAGTTGAAGTCGACAGCTGACGGGCGGTCGCATTATTGCACTAAATCCTGCTTACCCATATCCATGTATTTATACAAAAGTGGAATTCCCGTAAGCCGGAGGGAACAGGTTGCTTTGTACCGACTTGCAACCGTGACATACAACAATCAAGGCCAGACCAGGCTTGCAGATTCTGCACCAACAAGAAAACACTGTTGCTATTCATTTTGCTGATCTCAAGAACTCTGGATGAGAGCGGTAGTGCAAATTCATGTTTCATTATAAAATTTACAAGACAAATGATCTTTGTTCCTGACACTCCTAAGCTCTTCCACATGCTCACAGTCTGAAGGAAACAATAATCATGATTCAGTGCAGAGTCTTACATGAAGAGACAATCCCACATACTCAACGAGTCAGTGGGGAGAGGTAGAGCCCCCTTCACGCCTACCTGATTCTCTGGCTTCAAGCATCTTTTCTCTGTCTGCTCTCAAAACCGTCCGGAGTTTAATGATTCACATTAGAGCAAATGGCTTAACCCGTTAAAAATGCCCACAATCTAATCAGTAAACTAGACAAACCACATCAATACACAATACATTGTGAAAACTGGGAGCTTTCAAAAAGTCAACATTTGACCATGAAAGTGACCTGCTGATCACAAAAGATGATAAGCTGAATAATGTTTTGACTGTTTTTGTTCATACATTAAAGCCCAGTGTTATTTTGGTCCACGCTGATTTCCATTGTATGGTACAAGAAGATTTGGATCAACATGAGGACAATTATCTTTTTTTTTTTTTGATTGAACTGTCCCTTTAAAACCAAATCACTATATCCATATGAACCTAATAACTGATTGAAACAACAACATGATAGTCTTCACATTCCCATACACCAAGGAGACATTAAGCAGCATGATAAAAATAGTGACAGAAACAACATGCTTGCTCTGAAGGGGATGTCTGCTGGATTTCTTTTTTCTGTCCTCCGTCCCTTGTGTTTGTGTAAACACTCGCATTCTGATAGATCAGGAATTTGGCAGGGAGCGAGGAATCTTGTAAACAGTAACAGTAACCGATGACACGGCCTTCACCTTCTGCAAACAGATGAGGCAGGTGGTTCAGAAATACACCTGTGGAAACCTAATAACAGGGTGGCAAACAGAAATACTGCTGGATTTAGTGATGGACTGAATGTTTTAGGAGAAAGTGGAAGAGAGTATGTTGTTCGAACGTAAGCCGAGCTCTGCTCTGTAATTACTTGCATGTGTCTACCTGGTAGTTGTCTCTGTTTTTAAGTGTGTGTTTTATGGTGCTATACACAATCCTAGATGGCTAAGGAATTGTGTCATGAGTTAAGAGAGCTTGTCATTTATTGTAAGATAAATGTGCATGTTTAGAATGGAAACCAAATACAGTGGCATGCAAAAGAAAGGTAGACACAAAGTGTGTCATGCTCAGATAAATACATTTGCTCTTAGCTTCCCCTTACAAAGGTAATATTAACTCTTCTGCTTCTCAAAAAATAACTAATGATGTCTTACATTTTACCTTTTTAGGAATCATTAACTTTGGGTTTAGACTAGGCTATGATTTGTGAACAGGAGACCTACTAATATTTCCTTTTATCTTTGATTTGTTGTGTAAACTCAAGTCTTTTAGAGGTGGATGACTGGGGTTTAACTTTACTGGGAGCGGCATTGGCGGGAGGAACTGTACATGTACAGCAATCTGTGCCTCCAGACCAATGCCTGACCAGACGCAGCCGGTTTGTTCTGAGAGAGCCAGCAGGATTCATCTCATTGTCTCAGTGAGGGAAAGAAAAATACAAGAGCCAATGCCACAAGCAAGAAGCAGCGCTCTCATTCCTGCACCATGCCAAAACAGCAACTATCAAAACAGTAGGACTTTCAGGAGATCAAGAGAAGTACTACCGCCTCACCATAGGGGTCCTGTTAGAACTCAGCTCCTTATAAAGAGAGACTTCACTTATTATAAACAAAGAAGCACAAGAGTAAGAAAGATCTGAGAGCCCAAGTCCAAGAGAAATTGAAAACTAAACTACAAGCCTCTGAATCACTATGCCACCCACAGCAGGCTTATGTTCCAGGTGTATAGTTTCTTCTGAACGTTTGAAGTTGAGGGTCTGTATGAAATAGATTAATATTAAGTTGAAAACAGAAAATTCTTGTAGAAAATGATGAGAAACATCACATGAGAAAAACAGTTTAAAGTCAGTTCGTATAGATCTATGTGTAAAAGATAAGGCACTGCAGGAGAGCTGATGGGAAGAGTAAAGGAAATCCGACTGATAACCGCGAATCGGTTTAGTATTACGAATCGTTTGGAAACCGATTCAGCAAATCAGTAGGTATGTCATCACGTGTCATTATGCATTATTAAGTCCTAATTTTTTTTTTCCAGCTCGTTTTCGGCTATTATATTAATAAGTAACATATTTTTCGCCCCATCAGTCATCCTCGGTTCATTCGAAATGCATTTAATGTTAGCCCTCATCACGAATTGTACACATCCGAAAATGAGGTTTCAAACAGTCAGTTATTGACTCAAGAACCGCTCGAACCGATTCAGTTCGATTATTGAATGAATCGTTCAGTTTGGTTTAGTGAACTGGTTCAATTGATTCAACAGATCCGACTCAAAATAACGATTCGTTCATGATTCGAACATCGCTAATATGGAAACAGGGACGCGTTTGGTGCAGTGCACCTCCAATAACAAATAAAAAAGTGGATTTAACTGTTTACCTGCGCTTTCAAATCATTGTTACATAGTCTGTGTGCAACAAGAGCAGTCGCGGCTATGCATAAGATGACAAGTAGCCTAAACAAATGTATCCAAAAATAACAGCCTAAGCTTATCTAGCGTCATTAGGTTTCTGTTAGTTTAGGTAAATAAACTTTTCATGCAATCATTTGTGAATGATTATTTGATGTCATTTTACTCACGTTTGCCGTTTATTTCCATATCAGAAGAATCAAACAAAACTCCTCGACTTGTTGGAAACACACACTGCAGCCCGTGCACCCATCGATGTTGTGTACTTAAGCGACATACACTATCAGCATTGAAAGATTCTCAATGAAGTTACAGAGACCGACTTCACTCCATTATCCTGCTGGGTCCTAATGCTGCCTCTGACCGGGTTTGATTACAGACTGCCCCACATATCTACTGATGCCATTCATCACACAAAAACAGTTTTACAGAAGAAAACAAACTTTTATTGCAATATAAGATGTACATAGTCTGTTGAAACTGACAGATAAATAAAGTAAGGAAGGTAGCAGTAGTGATTAAAAAAGAGAGAATCAAAAATATGGTTATACTCTAGCTCTCTTCCTTCACTATGAAATTAATAGAACACTTCATAACAATCTATTGGGCAAACAAGTTGTAAACACTACACACAAAGGCAGAAAACATGATGGTTTCACCTGTTTGTCAGTGAGGTACAAAAACTACTGTCAGTATCCCTTGCCATGAAAGACCCCACGGTTACTGTTAAGTCCTAAACAAGGTTACAGTTTGTTATTTGTCACTTGCTTCAATGGTGTGATAATGTTTTTTTTTTTTCATCAAGTAATATGTGAGTGTGAACAAGTTATGTTCAATGGCCTTACAATCCATGTTTACTTCCTCTGCATTCAATTTATTACCAAATCAGGTGACATAATCACCCTGGCAACGACCCCAAAATTTAATTAACCCACTTAAAGGGGTCATATGATGCGATTTCATTTTTTCCTTTCTCTTTAGAGTGTTACAAGCTCTTGGTGCATAAAGAAGATCTGTAAAGTTGCAATAATGTACAGTATGTGGAAAATAATGTGTTTTTTTAACTTTAAACCGCATAAACACATTTCATTACACCAAATACACAAAATAATGTTCTTTTTAGCAGCATCATATGACCCCTTTAAGGTATCACAGCATTTCCTAATCCATCCTAACAGGAGTGATTAAAGTAAACTACACTATCCTAACCAACAGATCTCTTTTTAAGAGCATAACATTCCAAAAAAGAAAAGAAAAAAAAGAAAGGAAAAAAAAACATTGCACCTTAATTCTTATCTGTTTTGTCTTCATCTGTATCAGACACAAGCCATATGTATTTCTACCATCACAATTTACAATGTATGTTTCATCAATATTAGTCTAATAATCCTAAAGTCTTCTTGTGAGAAAAGTGTACATTCAGTATTCGTTACTCCTTGGAAATGACCTGAACAAAGTACAGCACCGTAGTGCTCAATTTCATCTGCTAACTTCACAAATAACAGTCAGACTTTGGTATTCATTGTCAAGCAAATCATCGCTTATTTCAGCCCATCTAAGCTTATGTAGTCCTTGAATAACAGTGAAATAAAAGGACTGAAAAATATTATTTTATAACCTTTAAAATTAATGTTACTTAATAATGTACTTGATGTAATGATGTAATAATGTACTTCCACTCTCATTAAAGTTGTATTAATCATATTTGCATTCTGTTCACTCACTTTGCTGGTGCATAAATTAATAGAGAACATAAGGCAAAATTCAAAATCCTTGAATAAGGAATCCTGATTCCTTAGTTTTGTCATTCAGAAACAAAATAAAATGTGTTCACTTTACACTCAAGTCAAAACTAAAATGTTCCCACCATTCTGTGTATCATGTTATTTATTTATGTCTTCCTTTGTCAGGTATTCTAGCCTGTCTGATCATTTATATGCCTCTGTCACAATAAAGAGTTGCACAATTTCTAGGTACAGTCCAGGCATGACTATGTGTCTGAGACACAGGATGTGTTTGTTTAGTTAGACTGGAACAGGTATTCAGGTCTCTGTGTGTGTGTGTGTGTGAGTGTGTGTGTGTGTGTGTGTGTGTGGGACAGGAACACTAGAACAGCCGGGCTTGTTTCTTCATCTCGTTCCTCTTCCACAGTGCCAGACGGTCAAACTCCACCATCGTCATCCCAAACACCTCATAGAACTCCTCAGGGGAAAGATGCCGCTAAAATGTCAAGGAAACATACTACTCAGTATATCCATCTATTCATCTGTTTTCATTTTTTGTAAGCATTTATTAAATATTGAGAGAGAGAGAGAGAGACAGAGACAGAGACAGACAGAGAGAGAGGGATAGATAGACAGATAGATAGATAGATAGATAGATAGATAATGTTCTCTTATGCTCACCAAAGCTACAATTATTTAATAAAAAATACAGTAAAACAGTAATATTGAGAAATATGACAATGTAAAATAATTGTTTTCTGTTTTAATATATATTTTAAAATGTAATTTCTTTGTGAAAGAACCAAATTAGTTTGAAATAGAAATCTTTTTGTAACATTGTAAATTTATTTATTGTCACTTTTGATCAAGTTAATGCATCCTTGCTGAATAGTATTAATTTATTAGATAGATAGATAGATAGATAGATAGATAGATAGAAAATAATTGTTTTCTGTTTTAATATATATTTAACATTTTAATTTATTTCTGTAAAAGAACAGCATTTGTTTTTAACATTGTACATTTCTTTACGGTCACTTTAATCAAGTTAATGCATCCTTGCTGAATAGTATTAATTTATTAGGTAGTAAGTATATTAAGTATTATTTTCTTTCAAACAAAAATCTTACTGACCCCAAACATATTGTAATAATATCATAAACGGTTTACCTCCAATCTAGCCCGGTCTACATCCTTTGGCAACCTGTTACGCCCCCTAGTGGTCACAATAAGTGCTTCATATGGGAAGATCTGTAACAAAAGTTAGCAGTGCATGTCATTGTAAACTTTAAACTACATAAACGCTGAAACTCATATTTATTGATTTACAAGTAATTGTCCTGACTGAAACGTTCCTTCATAGATTGGTAATGGAAAGCTAAACATTGTTCTCAGAGCAGGCTGTGCACTGGTGGACCTCCTTTTCCTCTCTTACAGTTGAAAAAGTGAAAGGAAATCACAGAGCCTCTGGCACAGTAGCTGTAACCGAGACAGGAAGCGACACCAAGCAGAACAATATAGTTCTTGACCAACCAGGAGCAAAGGGGTCAGACAAACCCCTGCCCTCTCCACGACCCCTGCAGTCTCCAACTCACTAAGGGCCAGCTGGGGAAGGACACAGTGGCCTTATGACCTGGAAGCACTAATTTGTTTCCACATGCTTTGACCAGCAGGACGTTGCTTTGACCCATCAGGGTTCATTAGACTGACATAAATCTGGGCTTTCCTCTGGAGAAGACAGTGGGCTAATGTTTCAGAGGTGCCTCTGTTTCAGGATGTTTTAGTGTCTCTCTGGGCCCCCTTTAATCCTCTGGTAATGCTAAACCATCGTCCTTACCTTGTACTCTGTTGGGGAAACAAACAAAAAAAGATTTTAAAGTCAGAACGAATTTTTGTACAAATAATTTCACTTCTAAATAAAATCTCACCTTAAAAAAAAAAAAAAACTCATTTACTTACCTCTGATTCCCCAGTTGACTTCACTGCCACTGTCATACTGATAGTAGTCTGCACTTTGTGGCTGGAAATAATTTTATAAATATAAATACATTTATATTTTTATTTTAGGTAATTATGGATAAAACATTTTTTAAACCTTTGACAAAATTGATTTTTTATTTTATTTATTTATTTAAGAGTCACTCACCATTCTCTGCTGCAAAGTTTGTCCGAGGAGCTGAAGGAAAGAGAAAGGAACATTACAATTTCTTTGGTAATCTGAAAATTTATTCTATGTAAATAATAAATGCAAATCACTAATTTGGGTAAAATAAAGCAATAGCAGTACACTATAAGAAACATTTCCCCTTAAACTAACAGTCATGCGCATAGTGTGGAATGACCTAAATATGCAGTTACTGGTACATAACGTTGCAGTTTAGACCGATACTGAGGCTTATTACTGTATGTCTGCCATCAGGTCAGACCTCTGAGTCCCCTGAGTTTTGGGACCACTGAAAAAACCATTGGAAAAGTCTCAAAACTGTCAACAAATAGAGCAGAGAGCAAGCTGCTCACCAGCCACACTAAAACAAGGCACATCAAAGTGCTCAATGAGCCTGAAGAATGCTGATGAATGGAAAAAAAAGCCATGGCAGTGTAAAGAAAAAAGGAAAAAGAGAAAAGGAGAAAGCAAGGGAAACAAAAGGAAAGTTATGGATGAAAAGGAAGCAAGTCTCGCTAAGAAACCTGACATGAAACTATATTTTGAATTATGCATTGCATTTTATGCCAGGACATTATCCGGATCTATTTAGTTAATTCAGTTAATCAATTTAATACTTCAATCCTGATCAATTTAATCCTTGCTGAATAAAAAAATAAACAATTAAACAAAATAAAATAAATTAATAAAAATAAAAATGAACTTTTGATTGGTAGTGTATTTCATTTATATTTAATGTATATACAAATTAAATATGAGATTAAATACAAAGACAGAAGTTGCTTCCTTTTCCTCATGGCTACACAAGATTATAATGAACATCCACAGTCCCAACTTTCTGGTTATGTTTTATTTATCTACGAAAACTCTTACCCACAAACCATCTAATTGTGTGGGAGTGTTTGATCATCAGCAGCATTAGGTGTCTGTCTAAACCTTCCAGGATGTCACCACTGTAATCCAGTGTATTAACTCAGTTGTATAAATTGGCTCTACAACGTCACTCCGACTTCCCCTTGATCTATTTCATGTGCTGTGCAGTAAATACCACCCATTTCTATTCATGAATAAAAGAAGACATGGGACACCAGCATGGGCTGCACCAAGCATTGTGAAGAGTAGCGATGGATATGGGGGAGGGCGAAGCAGGAATAGCGAAGCCAGATCCATGTACCGAAAGGGGAGGAAAACAGGGAACTAAAGAGAGGGAGGGGATGAAGGGAAAATTCCAGATGCTTCATGCACTTCCCCGTGAGATACACAGAAATAGAATTAAGGAGAGCAGCCCGCTCACATGCACATGAGGAGGAATGGAGAAAGAGGAAAAGGAAAAATGAGAGAAAAAAAAAGAGTAGGAGTGGAAGATGGGTTGTAATGTAGGAAAGTTATTAAGTGAAGACAGATACGCATACCAACCCCATTTATCAAATAAATATAGAAAATATTTCACTACAATGCAATGAAAATGTAAACATTATTTACTAATATATATATATAGCTAGGGATGCACTGATATTACAATTTTGGCCAACATAGATAAACAACTAATTATTTTAAAGTTATGGACAATAACTGATAAATGGCTGATATTAAAATTCTATTCTATTTTGACTAAAGAAAAAAAACTGCGCATTGGTGCATCGGCATAAAAGTTAATGCAATGCATCAGTTTAAAAAAAGTGTGCATCAGATACAAGTTGACATTTGTATCGCAATGCATCGGTTCTGCATCGCTTAAAGGGGTCATATGATGTTGCTAAAAAGAACATTATTTTTTGTGTATTTGGTGTAATGAAATGTGTTTATGCGGTTTAAGGTTAAAAAAACTCATTATTTTCCACATACTGTACATTATTGTTTCTCCTCTATGCCCCGCCTTTCTGAAACGCGTTGATTTTTACAAAGCTCATCGGTCTGAAAAGCAAGGTGTGCTGTGATTGGCCAGCTATCCAGTGCGTTGTGATTGGCCGAATACCTCAAGAGAACTTTTATAAAGAATATCTCTTTGGATTTGAGACTTTAGTCTTTGCAACTTTACAGATCTTCTTTATGCACCAAGAGCTTGTAACACTCCAAAGAGAAAGGAAAAATTGAAATCGCATCATATGACCCCTTTAAGTAAATTTATAATTTGCTATCTATCTGAACCAAAGAAATAAAAGCGAACTATTTGTACTATATTGAATTGCATAGCATACATTTTTTTTTCCATTGCATCGTATTGCATTGAATCGCATTGTGTTGAATCAAACCAAAATCAGATCGCACTGCACCATAATAGGGGTGAATCGTATCGCATTGCATTGGTAGCTGCTTCATATGTATCTTTAATATATTGTAGACTATGTATCGAGATGTGTATCGCATCGGCCTACATACATACACACACCATGCATATACTAAAATATTAGCGTGTCAGATATACAAAGGCCACATTGAGTGTTAATATAAGGAAAACATTAACAGAGAGAAGTGTGTGTGTGTGTTTGTGAAAAAAGGGCGAGAGAAAGAACAAGAACAGTTGCATGGCACTGCATCGCTGTAGTGTTGTAATCGTTTTTTTTTGTTTTTTTCTGCTGTGTCTGCACTATTCCTGAAAACCCTCAGAATTCCCTCTCCCAGCATCACAGTCCTGTATCAGCAGCATATGCTGGCTGTGTCACCGTTGACTCAAACCTGCCTTCACTCTAAAGCGTTCCAGAGCTCCACTGCCTTAATTAGATGGCTCAGTGCCACATCTTCATTGACCACACCGCCCTACACTGAATAATGAATACTCCATACTGAACGCAGGCAAAGCAACTCCCATACTGCATGCAGTCAACACCACACCGCACCTGTTGCCGTCATGCATTTTCCCCAGAGGAGACTGTGGGAAGGGAAAAGGTGGTCTTAGACAAACACAAACAGTAGGTTTGGCTTTGAAGGATCAAATGCAGTGACCAATGCGATATGCAACGCTCTGTTTTTGATGACCCTACAGCAACCCCCTCCGAACACACATCTCTGTAATCCGCCGTCATACAGCAGCTCTAGTGGAGCACTTACAGCCGTTAACTGTGTTGTTGTGGCCCATGCTGTGCAACATCTCCCTGCTCCCACTGCGGGAGTTCCGCGCGCTGCCCCAGGGGTCGTTGTCATAGGAACCGGAGCGGGCTTTCATCTCCTCCTTCAGGATCATCCTACCGATACCACCCTGAATCTGAGATGCAAAGAAATGGGAAGACAGAAACAAAAGAAATAATGAGTGAGCATCATGCGATAGTAAGAGTGATCAGTACTTGATGCTTATTGGCTAGATTTCAAACATGGTTAAATGTGAATCTCTGAGCAGACAGATGGGCTGTAACTTGATGACTGATCGCTGATTATCAAAACCAGGCGAGTTTGATCTCATTATCTAATTAACACAAGTTTAATTACTGGTTAGAGGGCATTGTGAAAATAAAGAGACAGGGTGCTTTATTGGCTTACTCTTTGAAGGCCGTGACTCCAGCCATCCTCTTCTCCACCTGATGAGTACCTTCTCCGAGGAGCACGTAAAGCTGAGAGGGAAAGAAATTGAGAGAGAAAGCGAGTGTGGGAAAGAGGAAATAATGAGTCTTGATGAAAAAAAACAACAATAGCATCTAAACGGAGATACACGGCGTGTATCTTGAATGGCAGCAAAAATATGCTATGAAATATATATATGCAATCTCTTATTAAATTTTAAACTTTCATACTTCTAATCTGCAAATCATTCTTGGCTTAGATTTAGTCAGGGATTCCAAATAAACAAGAAAACAGAAAAAAAGCCAAAAAATCTGAAGGAATTAAGATACCTTTTGATCTCAGAAACTGCACCCACCTGTCATCCTTTGGTCAAACACATTGATGGGATACAACACAGCTAATAAAATACAGCTCTTGTCCCAATTGGAAGATGCTATTGAATATTGATGATGTAATGTGTGCAAAAATAAATATAAAAGAACTCTGGGACACAACAAAATCCAAAAGTGCCTTCTTCCCTGGTTAATATTAATCACTTTAAGCATATTAGAATAGCTTCTGTATTATTCTGATTTTAGTAAATGAATGGTGTTTAGTTTGGCTTCAGATTTAGTACAGTAGATGCTCTTGTCAAATTTGATTCACACATTTAGAAAAAAAACCCTACTAAAATCAGATTAAAATGGCTATTTCTATCAAATAATTCAGTAAGAAAAGAAAATTAGCTTTTGTTGTGTTTGTTTAAATGTTCTTGACAAGTCTAGCTTTATTATTGCAAATTATGGGTATTTATAAAGCATTATTTAGTGGAAACAGGTTAAAACAAATTAAGATATTTTGTATTAAATCACTACAATGCATTAGGGACTGCTCAATAGGAAAATGAACTGCACTGCAATATAATACTCTTACGGTCCCTGTTTAGTTTTGTCGCCTTTTGGTTTTCCTTGTCCCATTTGGCTGTTTCTTAGTTTCTTGTTTGTAAGCTGTTAATTAGTTCTCCACACCTGTTCTGTGTGTTGCATTTGCTCCTACGATCTCCAGTGCTTTCTTGTTGTATAAATATATAAAAGACTGTGTGTTGGAATTCTCCTGTGTTGTGCGCTTGATTATCAGCAACATGTAACAAATACTTTATTTTTATGACATGCTAAATATATTCTAGTCACACTGACTGATTCCACATTCAGAGACTACACGATCTTTACTGGCATCCCTGTACGTGGAAACGTTTGGAATGATTGTGGTTGGTGTGAAGGACAGGAAAGTGCTGTGATGCCAGTGAACTGAACGCATAGGACATTATGAATACATTCATCACTTACATTTAGGAGAGCTGGTATAATGGTAGTAATCAGACTCTGAGTGCTGGTAGTTTTCAGGTGAGTAGGCTGATGTGAACTTGGAAGATTGGACAATGTTCTCACTGGTCTTGCTCTTAGTTGCTGGATTGCAGTGATTGTCTGTGGGAAAGAATTTCAGGATCACATCTTTGGAAAAAGCTTGTGATATAACAGCACATAGCGGTACAATCAGGCCCCCTTTACATCTAACATTTGTATGCGTTTTCAGTGATCGCACAATCCACATCAAAAACCAGCTGTAAGAGCACCCAAGATGCTTTGTGATCATGAACATTACCTACTTTTATCAGGTGCTAAAAGTAGATCTCATCACCTGATTTGAACAATATTCACAGCATTACTCCACTGAACTGCATTTGGAATCTCTTGTTTCTATTTTCAAATTTTCACTCACGTCTCGTCTAGTCTATTTTCACATGGACACACCCTTATTCACTTCTAATCCATATTAACATCTTATACTAGCGAAATGGTTTAATAAAGGCAAACACAGTAGATAAGATCAAAAATAAAATTACATTGTTTTATAATACACATTGTTTTGCATTTTGGAATTTTCCATTTTAAAAATTCTGAAGCTTTTTCAGTTCTGTGTGAACTCAACCTAGCTAATGCTTGGTGTTAAGGGGGCATCAGAAAGAAAGAAAGAAAGAAAGAAAGAAAGAAAAAGCTACAACACTCACATATAACAACCCAGAGGGAAATGACTTTAACACAATCCACAACACTCAATATAAAGCATCTGTATTCATATAAATGAGATATTGAATAAGCACAGAAAACACTTTGTATTATTAGACACGACATGGATATTGATAAATTGCCTTCAATGCTAAAGCAAAACCAGTCAAAAACAGCACTGAACTCCCATCCATATAAAACACACACAAGAAGATTCAACACAAATACAGAAGCACAGGCCTCACACAGTCCCTAATGGAAAAGACTTCACAGGGATGAGAGACGGAATGTAAGTGAGGGACTAGAGATCAATCGAACAAACACACAACCCAAAACGCAGACAGACAGATGTGCACGGGGAGAGAGAATACTTACAGAGTGAATGGTGACCGAGGAAAGTAGAGGTGGAGGGAATTTTGTATTTAAGGTGGTGAGGGGGAAAAACAGGGAAAAAAGAATAAGGGAAGAAATATTTGCATCCCATAGAGTCTTTAGTGAGATTTTAAGTTTGGTACCCATATGGCAGAGAAGCAAATTATCTGCATTACAATAGTATGAGTCTTTTGCACAAACACAGCTAGACATCTACAACAATATAACACTTTTCACTTACACATGCAGATCCACCATATGGGTAGCAAAATATTCCTTGTAAAGTGCTCATTACAGGCTTGTGACACGAGGATAAACACAAACACACACTTGACTACACAAAATGTAGGCTCTCAGAGATAGTTCTGACCTTTCTTAGACAGAACTTGATGGACTGTGCAAGTATCTGAATTGGCCAGTAAATAAATCTGCAGCATTAGTGCAGCTCTGTGCAAAACTCTGAAACAAATTCATCTCCCTTATGCACTCTAGATCTCTGTTGTTGTGTACTGTCCATGCTAATTGGCAGGCCTACATAGAATCTCTGCCAGAAGCTTTGAAGAACTCAAACAGCCAAACAGTCATAATTCACAAAGTTTTATAATCCCCTGCACCCTGTGTGCTTGTCTTTTAAACATTTTAGCTAATTTGATGCTGTCAGCAACCAATAAATGTCTAGCACGCTCTATTCCATTTAACACCATTTAGTATACTTAGATTGATTCCACAGATTTTATCCCTCAAAAAGGGTCAGAACTGCACAGAAAATGTCTGAAGTATTGTAACAACTATCATTCAAACTATTTTGCACATTCATAACACGTTTAAAGCCATTTCACAATCTCTCCTAAAGAAAATGTGGACAAAGATTATATCTGGGCCTATAGATACAGTCATGGTCAGAATTATTGGCACCCTTGGTAAATATGATCAAAGAAGGCTGTGAAAATAAATCTGCATTGTTAATCATTTTGATCTTTTATTTTAAAAATTCACATAAATCTAATCTTTCATTGGAGAATAAGAATTTAAAATGGGGGAAATATCATTATGACATAAATGTTTTTTCTCTAATACACATTGGACACAATTAACGGCACCCTTTTTATTCAATGCTTTTTTAAACCTCCATTTGGCATAATAACAGCTCTGAGTTTTCTCCTATAATGCCTCATGAATAAATGGGAAAACAAAGTAACTTGCATTACTTAATTGAAAAAGTAAAATTTCATTGTAGATTTAAAAGTAATATGTTACTTTACTAGTTGCACGAAAAAAAGTAATCTGATTACGTAACCTGTGTTACTTGTAATACCTCCAACACTGATTATTATTATTATTATCCTTATTTTTTTTGTTCCTGATATATACATAAAATACATCACTTTTTTGGTGGGGGGAAACATTGGCATGGCAAAAAATCTAAACTGTTGAGCCCAGACGAAATCCTTAATGTTGAGCACTTTATTACCCATAAACCCACTTTATCATCTTTATAATATATCAGGTATAATTGTATTATTTATCACTTTGTTGTAATCAAAAATAAGGATAATAATTAATCCTACCGAAAATGGCACAAGCCTGTAATGCACACACATACAGGTGCATCTCAATAAATTAGAATGTCGTGGAAAAGTTCATTTATTTCAGTAATTCAACTCAAATTGTGAAACTCGTGTATTAAATAAATTCAATGCACACAGACTGAAGTAGTTTAAGTCTTTGGTTCTTAATTGGGCCCAATTTGGACATTTTCACTTAGGGTGTACTCACTTTGGTGGCCAGCGGGTTAGACATTAATGGCTGTGTGTTGAGTTATTTTGAGGGGGCAGCAAATTTACACTGTTATACAAGCTGTACACTCACTACTTTACATTGTAGCAAAGTGTCATTTCTTCAGTGTTGTCACATGAAAAGATATAATAAAATATTTACAAAAATGTGAGGGGTGTACTCACTTCTGTGAGATACTGTATATACACAGTATATACACACATAAATACACACACAGACACATGCAGTTAAGGGAAAGATGTACTATTGCTATTGTTGAGTTAAAGGGGTTAGAGTTCATGACATTTTGAAGACATACTAACCAATGTACTTGACAAAAAGTTGTGAAGATTGTAATTTTATGAATGAACAGACAGAGATATGCACATAAACAACCATCTATCAATGATCCGCCACCAATAATTAACAGAAGCAGTCTAGGGATTAACTAGTCCTTAAAGTACATAAAATGCAACATTTAATATGTTATCAGCTGTCAGAGAAACAATATGGCTGCCATTTGAACTCTGTGAACCTCTGTAGGATGTTTAGGCTTTCACACTTGCTCATTTCATGCTTAAACAGGCTTGCCTTCCTAACAGCAGTTTCTCAACAGGGTTGATCTTAACTTAGCGTTCAGTGGTGCTTCTCTGTGGCATCTAATGCGGCCACTTCCCAGTAAATCTAAAGCAGAGGGGGGACATGGCAAGCTTTAATCATGCCTCAGCAAGCCTCATCCTTTTTTCATCACCCTCCTTTAAGAAGCAAGGATGCGTTCGTGCCAGTTCTACATTCTTCTGTCATGCAAGGAACGGAAAGCAGGAGGCACTCTGTATTTTAATATAAGGCGTTTTTCTTCCTCATTTGCTCACTACTTCTCTTAAAGGCTTTTAGACTAAAGGGTCTGTGGAGGACACTAACACTAATCAGACACATCTTTCCCATGAGCCCACACAGCCTCAGGACTGAGCGTGAGGGAAAACAGGCCGGGGCAGGCGGAGCACACTATACCATGTCTCTTATAGATGGGAGGCTTCCTGTAGATATTGGGCTCCCCTGTGGCTGAGAAGAAAAGGAGAGATTAGTAATAAAACATGGAGGACATGTAAGTGACAGGCAGAAGTAAGCACGGGGCAGGATATGTTTTTTTGTTCTTCCTCTTCAGGCTTCCAGGGACCTTTAAGGTAAGGTAGGGGAGAGTGGAACAGTTGAAGAGAACACAAAAATGGAGTAGAGCCATACTATAGATGTATAGTATAGACAGAGTCAACAGTTACAGGGACTTTGATTCATTAACAAGACTTTAAGTTATAGTCAAATATACTGCTGGATGAATATGAAAGTGATGACAGCAGCCAATGAGGTGTAGAGGCCTGGCCTACCTGGCACATGGAAATGCTTGGGAGCTTGGTTTGTGGTGGGCGTGCTGGACCGGGCATCTAGCTGATTGTAATAGGGTGAACTTCTGCCACTCTCAGTGCCTGCAGCAAGCCCCAAGCCAATGACAGTAACAGAACCAGAGCATGAGTGCACACGTCCTGTGCGCCCTAACTACACACACTCAATCATCACACCGGCGATCATCAGATCAATGATCCAAGATTAGCCAGGCAGGGACAGTATGCATTTCAAAACAGAAGAAAAGACATACTGTACCAGACAGAGGGGTGCATAGGATGTGGGTGGAATGGCAAGACAGGCTCCCAAATAACATATCCCACATGAAAAGCCTATATAGCTTATTTTGATTAAAGTCAACATGAAATCTCTTATTGTGGTCTTACTGTAAATAATTCACATTCTCATCATTTAAAAAATGTAATTCATCAAAAAATTTTAACTTTTTGGGTGACATCACAACTCGAAGAGCCAATCAATTCCAGATGGATAAAGTCCTGTCTTTTCCAGTGTGTTTCATTAATTTAAATAAAACAAAAATAAAGAAACCAATGAAAACTGAACTAACTGAAATAAAATAAGTTTAAGCTGAAGCACGAAAAGCACTAAAAGGCTACAAGTGAAATAAAAATGAATTAAATGAAGCTAAATAGAAATACAAAAATAACAATAATTATAACTTCTTTATTTACTTCTAAAAAAAAGTCACAATTCATGTTGACTTTAAAATCATTATCAGTCACTACACTCTACAAAGGGTACAAAAGCTGTCACTGGGGTGGTACGGTTTCAAAAGGTATTCCTTTTTACCATATTTACCCCTAAAGGCTGCATAACGATACCTTAAATGTACATATAAGTATCTAAAATGTACAGTTTGCAAGGGTACTGCCCCAATTAAAGTTTTTGTACCTTTTTTTCTGAGTGTTTGCTATGTAACTGGACACCACATTTTATAAAACGTATAAAGAAGGCAAAGCAAGAAATATATAGTATATTTTTCCAATATACTGCATATTCAGTATAGTTCTCAAGCCATTCCTGCTGAAAAGACCAGCTTAGACCAGTATGCCGGTTCAATCTGGTTAGCACTGGTCCACTATCCATGTTGTTTACCAGCAACACATGCTGGTCAACTTGCATAGTCTTCTGATGAAGCTGAAAGCTGGTTACACCAGCATCCCATATATCAGGGATGAGAGTGTATTTTTTGTTATTGTACTGCTCAGCAGAAGGGACTCACCATATCTGTAGTAGTGCTGTGGAGAGCGGGGCGTGATGGGAGACATGCCCTGTCTGCTGTAGGTGGGGGAGTCTATGTACCCCGGACTGGAGGATCTTCTCATCCTTATGTCCATACTATCATACATGTCCTAGTCACATAAAATGTCATTATTCATTACTATGAGTGTGAGAATCTCTCACTTTATTTACTCAGTGACCAAAATGATTCATAGAGCAACAACTGTCAATTTAACACACTTAATCACACACTTATGTGCTACTTTAGACAGATTGATAACTTTTTTGCAAAATATATTGCTGTTAACTGTTGACTCATCTAGAAGTTGACCGATATGACTTTTTCAGGGTCGATGCTGATTATTACAGATCAAGTAGACTGATAACCGATATTTTGAATTGATATACTGTATATATATATATATATATATATATAATATTAATGTCAAAATTAATAATAACAAGGGCTCTGACAAAAACTTTCTTTAAATGCTTTTAAATTATTTTATCGACAAATAGGTTTTGAAAATGACCAATACTGATAAACCATAAAATGCTTCATATCGGTGCCGATAATCGGTCGACCCCTAGACTTAAAGTAAATTTAAGTCAAAACTTCTACCTGAGAATAAGGGGAGAGCGTGCCCAAGGACTGTGGAGACAAAAAAGGAGAAAGAGTCAGTACAACAGTAAATCAGAGATAAACCTTTAGTCTCTTCCTCCATGACATCTGATGTGTAAGGGAAGTGAAAAGAGCAAGGGGGCGGAGGTGAAGGAGCCACTGTGATCAGACCAACCTACTCTGTATCTCCTCAACATTATCTACTCAGCAAGCATAAATTCAAGAGATAGCTCACCCAAAATTGAAGATCTTGTCACTTATTCACTCTCATGTCATTCCAAACTCTATAATTTTTCTTCTATCAACAACAAACAAAATTATTAAGGAGTTTGTGGTCACCGTTTACTTCAATGTAAAAACCAGAGCAGCATCGACATTCTACTAAACATCTCCTTTTGTGTTCAACAATCATCATATGGTTTTGAAACATGAGGGTGAGTAAATGATTTTTTTTTTTTTTTCATTTTTAGGTGAACTATTCCTTTAAGCAACATCACATAATTCGCTAGCATTTTTGAGAGAGCTTTCCAAAAGCAAACTAAAGCAAGGTGGCTCAACCAAATTCACTATCAATAGTGGGAGAAAGGCACAAACATAGTACTTCAGCAAACAAAAGCATACAGCCAGCCAACGGATGCAACATAAATGAGAAACTCAAAGCTAAGCTCGGCTAGGACCAGGCCAGTAGATCTGGCGACAGGGGGAGACATGCTAAAAGTAAACCCAGAGTGGCTCTAGTGGTCCTCTAGGGCAGTATACCTCCCCATAGCTGAGACGCTCTAGCCTGTCGTCGGAGCAGTATCTGTGACTGGGCTCATAGGACCAGAAGTCTGGCCTCTGCACTTCATAAATGGCTTTAACCTTAGGCAGCGCTGCCAAGTCTTTGTAATCAAGGATCTCTTTCTCCATTTTTGCCTGAGGAGAGGGACACACGACAGATACACACACTCACACGTCAAACGCAATGAGCAGCAATGACAGCAATGATGACAGGCGTCGACAACATCAACAACATAATTAAGTGTGGGAATAAGCCTGCGGCACAGTTGGAACACTTTAAAGCAAGTGCTGTTAGAATACAATTGAGCTCATGATTGAAACTGTAATGCAGCACATAAATGCTATAAGAATGTCATATTGAATTTGATAAGACTGCTTATGACTTTTTTTTGGAGTGAGTATAAAGTCCTTTGTTAACCCTTTAACACTTTTAGGTTAGTGCCTTCCTTTACAAGTAGTCCCAGATAGTATTTTAAGGTTTTGCTTCTATTTGAATCTTATACATGTAGAGTCTCACGCTTGACCTTCAGCAGAGTATGGACCTGCAGGCCTTGACAGCACATATGCTTACACGGCGTTATGCATACATCAATCACACACAGCACAAAGGTTACACACTCGGGCCGGCCTTTACTTCCACATGTGATGTTAATGACTGCACCACTGCAGAACGCACACAAACACATTATGAACAAGCCAATAAACTCAAGCACGAGAGCCATCCATCTTGGGATGACCAATAATGTATACATTTATGTATTTGACAGATGCTTTTATACAAAGCAACCTTCAGTGCATTCAAGCTACACATTTAATCAGTTCATGCATTCTCTAGAAATCAAACCTGTAATTTTTGTGTTTCAATTGCCGTGATGTACTAGTTGAGAAACTACAGAAATCTTCATGGCACTTTACACTACCACTGCAGCATTTGGGTTCCGTAAGATTTTTTAATGCCTTTAAAAGAGGCCTCTTACACTCACCAAGGCTGGATTTATTTGATCAAAAATACTGTAATATTGTGAAAAATATTTGTATAACTTAAAATAACTGTTTTCAATTTGAATATATTTTTAAATGCAATTTATTCCTGTGAAGGCAAAGCTGAATTTTCAGTAGCCATTACTACAGTCTTCTGTGTCACAGGATCCTTCAGAAATCATTCTAATATGCTTATTTGCTGCTCAAGAAACATTTCATATTATTATCAAGGTTGAAAAGTATTTTTGTGTTTTTTAGGATTCTTTGATGAATAAAAAGAATAGAAAGAAATAGAACAGCATTTATTTGAAATAGAAATCTTTTGTAACATTATAAAAGCCTTTACTGTCACTTTTAATCTGTTTAATCTGTTTAACCTTACTGACCCCAAACTTTTAATGGTAGTGTAAGTCAAACGTTGTAACAAAAAAAGAACAGTTCATTCAAAAATGGATGTTCTGTCATTATTTATTTAATCGATTTTGGTAAATTGGTGTTTTTGTGTTCCACGAAAGAAATTCAGTCACACAGGTTTGGATCAACATTACAGTGAATAAAAGATGACTGAATTTTCATTTTTGGGTGAACTGTCCCTTTAACTTGTACCTAAAATTAACATGAACACATTATGTCAAAATAATGACTAAAATGATCATAATTTCAAAATCAAATGTTCTGATTTTGTATCATTTACAGCTCTGTTGTCTTCATTCAGGCTGGACAGCGACTGGCTACTTACACATATAACTCTGCTGGGTGAACTAATGCTGGAGCCTGGTGGAGAGATGGAGGTTTCTGATGTGCGCCTGAGCTGTAAAATGAAAAAAGAAAACAGAATAGCTTCAGAGTGAGATCTGAAGGCATTTTAAAAATCATATAACTGTTAAAAAATACATTTACTCTCAGTTTCCTCTCTGCTCGCGATGCTTGTTTACACACAGGATGCCACACCTCTGAACCTGAGAAACACAGCCAAACAAAGAGGAGAGATGGAGGTTTCTGATGTGCGCCTGAGCTGTAAAATGAAAAAAGAAAACAGAATAGCTTCAGAGTGAGATCTGAAGGCATTTTAAAAATCATATAACTGTTAAAAAAATACATTTACTCTCAGTTTCCTCTCTGCTCGAGATGCTTGTTTACACACAGGATGCCACACCTCTGAACCTGAGAAACACAGCCAAACAAAGAGGAGGAGAATGTTAGATACAACGCACAAAACTTCTAATCCAGCTATGTGTTCATTCAAGACACCTTAAAATGACTCCATTTAAGACATGAAAAGAAGGGATTATAAAATTAAGCCACATGGATTTTTTAAAAGAAATACTTTTATTTAGCAAGGACACATTCAATTGAGACACAAAAGTGGCCTTTACATTGTTACAACAAATTCAAATAAATGCTGTTCTTTTGAACGTTCTGTTCATCAAAGAATCCTGAAAAAATCATCACAGTTTCCACAAATATCTTAAGCAGGACAATGGTTTCAACATATTTCATTTAAAATATTACTGTTTTACTGTATTTTCGGATAAAACAAAATGCAGACTTAGTGAGAATAAGACACTTCGTTCAAAAACATTTAAAGATCTTACTGAACCCAAACTTTTAATTGGTAAGATTTAAATCATATTTCTACATTCATAATCTGATTTATATTATAAACTGAAAAGATTTTTTGAGTAGACACTGGCGCCATGGCTTTTTTGAAGAAAATGTGGACCTAATGGACTTGCACTAAGATTTTTATTGTACATTTTATTCAGTTTGGCATCTTAGACCTGCCTGCCAATCACATTCCTCCTGACCTTAGTGGTGAGTTTGAGATTTGGAAGCAGATGGATAACTCAAGCTAAGGCAAATACATTTTAACGTAATCACTCTATGAGAAGAAAGGCCAGAGTGCAGTCATTCAACTGTAGTATTTTCAATTTCAGATTGATGGGTTTTTTAATCCGATGCTCTGTCTCTGGCTGGCTCATTCTCTCCCTTTCTCGTTCCCAACGTACCTCTCTATTTTTTGCATGATAGTAATGTGCTGATGGCCGGCTCTGCTGACTTTTAAATGCATTTACCTCGAGGCGTGTTCGCTAGCCTGTAACACACTTACACATCTCAGCGCTGAATGTGAAACAGAACAGACAAACACAGAAAAAGACCTGCGGTGCATTCTAATGTCCACCAGCCGCTGGCACTGGAAGTCATATGAGCGATCACACAGTTTCACAGAGGAAATCTACTGAATGGGGCATTAAGATAGATCAAGATGAGCCTCTATGACTCTTTGGGGAATAACACGAGTTTCTTCATTAAAGTCTTCTAACTACAGCCTTTATCTCCCACATGAATCTTGCATATTGTTCATGATGTTCTGGAAATGAAGCTAATGTTGAAAGATTGTCATGGAATATTGTAAAAGAGCTCTTTTATTAGTAAAGTGCTCATCTGCTCTGTCACAAGGATGAACTTTTGAACTTGAATGACCTTGTGAATGACACATACACATGATTAAATTAAGTGTAATTTGAGAATTTTGTTAGAGTATCTATAGAGCTTTTAAATATTTCTAATGTTTATTTTTAGAAAAAAAATATATTAAAAGGGTTTTAAACTATAGTTAGACATGTTCCCACATTTTGGTAATTACAAAGCTCATAGAAAATGAATAGAAAATAAAACTCCTCTATAATATTAAGTAGTGTGACCACCTGAGGTTGACAATCACCATTTTCTGAAAGTTAAGCAACTTTCACTGACCATTTGTTGTAAAAGAAAAACAAAATCACTGCCTTATTTGGAAGAGTTCCAGGTCCTATTTTGCACCCTATTCATGGAAAGTGCCGGCTGTTGGCCTCTGTAACCTCTCCTCACCTGTGAGATACATCTCCTCTCCTTCTGTAAACATCATCTGACACCGGGCACAGCGAGCACAAGTGGGGTGGTAGTGCTTCCCTCCAGCCTGGACAGAGAACGATAGGGACAAACAGAACGATAAGAAAATGTTGTAGGTTGCTCTAAAAGATTATAAAATAACATGTATAGCACATAAATGCTCCCATGAAACCCATTATCATGAGTGCAATAAACATAGTCAACATATACTTGTCTCAACAGTGTCCTCCATACTAAGCAACAGAGCAGTCCTTCTTTATTGCTGTTTTAATACTGCTCAAGACTCATTTGAGCTCTACAGACGTTTAATGACTCTCTTGCTCACCGTACACACATTTAAAGCTTACGCAGATCCTTCAGTGCCAAGTATCAGTAATTGAGAGAATTGTTCCCCTGGGCCAGTTAAAAAAATATGAGCTTGTTGATGGAACTGGAGAGAACAAACACTTTTTTAAAACATGTTCACTGTTTGTTTAGAGTTCTAGTTGAGGAAAGGGGACAAAATAGATAGAATAGAGATGTCACCCAAGTTAATGGTGTAAAAATTGATACATGTATTATAACTAAATTTATGCAACAGTTAATACCTGTCCTTCAATCTAGTCAAGCAGCATTCCAACAGTGCTGCTATAACAGTCCAACAGTACTGGGACTTTTCACAGTTTGTATTTATGTTGTTGCACCAGTAGGTGGCGACAAGTGACTATTTATAAGTGAGTCATTGGAATCATTCACTCAGTTCTGATTCGCTCAAAAATACAGATTAATTCTGGAACTAAACATAATGTGTTGATGAATGAATTCTTCAATTATTTAATCATTTAGTCAACTGATTTAAATCCGACAACACATGTGACTGTCTTTGTAAACAAGACATTGAACCATTTAATCACTTACTCGCAACCGATGTGTTCAAAACAAATTAACTGGTAATGATTCAGCAACAAAACATATGACTGTCTTTATGAATGAACCACCAAGTGAGCCACTTAAACAATTTGTTCAAAACACTGATTCATTCAGGAACAAAACATATGACTGCCTTTATGAATGTGTCAAATTAACTGCCTTAATTTAACAACAAAAATGTGAGTTTTTATGAATGAGTCATTGAATCGGTCACTCAAACTATTTAGTCAAAACACTTATTTATTCAGGAACAAAACAAGTGACTGTCTTTATCAGTGAGTCCTTTGAATCATTCACTCAAATGAATTGTTTAAAAACCCTAATTGATCTGAGTTGCTCAGAGACACAACCACTGATTCTTCTGTGGCTTTCTTTAAAACTATTCACATCAGAAAAACAACGACAAACAAAATAACTGACCATTATGTATCGAAAATGTAAGTTCTTAGACTAGTATGACAGTTGCTATTCATAGACAAATATCGTAAATACACCAAATGTCTCATTAGGAAGCCCTGAGAAGAAAGGGGCATATTCGAGAGGAGGCACAGAGCAGGTGGCAAAAGAAGGCCAGTTTATGAGCTAGAGACATAGTGTATGCTGTCACTGCTCCAGGAATCAGCAAGCTGTCAGTTTCTAAGTGCTCAGAGGCATGTGGTATTACTAGGTGTCTCCCAGGGGGAATGAGTGCAAATCATACAGGCAGATAAAGATAAATCATTCTGTGTCCCAATAGCTATAAATAACCTGACTTGAGCTCTCGCTGGAACATGGAGCACTTCACACCAGCCACTCAGACTGGGATAAGAGCAAACAGGAATGAGTTAGTGTGTGCGAGTACACAATCTGACTCAAATGTTTTTCAAATGCGTGTGTATTAGCATTAAGCTTCATCAGCTTTGTAACTCTCGGCTGGCAAATTATCTCCTTTCTTATTTGTATGTAAACTACCTCATCATGTTTCACTTCCCCTGCGACCGTCACATTACTCAAAGTCTCTCACGTTCTCTGTCTCTCTCTCCAACTCCATGACTCCACAACCCTACTCAGGAGTGTCAGAAAATAGCAAGTCAACAAAAGAAAGGGTGCCAGGGGTACCTGCCAAAATAACCACTCTTGCTTATGAAGCGTCAAAGGCCAGAATATTAGGCCATTCCTCAGAAGGACAAGCCACAGGGGAAGAAAACTAAAGGCAGGGAAGCCTACTGGCTCTTGATGAGCTCTATCACTCATTCCCTCAGTAACTACCCACTGAAACATTTCTGGTAAAGGGTCTGAACGTTTAGCGCTCCATTTCAAACCACCTGTGATAAATTTCAACTACATTTTTTAATACTAATATAAATATTATTATATACACCATACAATACATATATATTTTTGGAGGAAGGCCGAGAAAAATAAATATCAGAAGCAATAGTAACAGTGATAGTCCTCACTTGTTTATTCTCTCAAAGTGTTATCCTCTACTAGTCTCTCCAAGGTGTATTTTTTGCTGTCTGTTAGCCATAAATGGTGAAAGCGTTGTGAGAGAGAAAACAGTGTGTATTTCTGAGGGAAGAGTGCTTCAAATGGTGGTTTTATTCCCCCGTCTGTCTGGGCTTCTTCATCCATCTCCTCATTCTTAGCCCTTGATCTTTTTATAATGGAGGCTTCCTGCCTGGCCTGCTTGATAGATCAATTCATGTTCTTTTCAGGTATAACTCAATGTAATCGCTGTCTATTCAGCAGAGTTCTGAGGTAATTCAGAGTCAATAGCAATCAAAGACGAGTCACTCATCACAAAGAACTACTATAGTATATGTGTATAAGTAATGAGTCAATTGCTCAAGTTCAATGTTCTCTACAGGAAGTCCACAAAAGTATTACAGGTGGTCTGTAGACTTGAATGAAACTTTCATTACATTTCTAATAAATAACACTACACTACCACTCAAAAGTTTGGGGTCAGTAAGATTTTTTGGTAACACTTTACTTAAAGTCATGCAATCTCATGAATAATTGTAAACACGGTAAATACGGCACATAATGACACTTATCAATTCATTGTTACACTATGCATTTTAAATTCATTTATAATTATTTTCGACAAGATATAATGTATTACAACGCACATTATGAATAATTATAATGCATTATACCATCTATTAACCCTTTATAATGCATTATAAATAAAGACTTTCAGTAAAGTGTTACTGATTTTTTTATGCTTTTGAAAGTCTCTTATAATCAATATTGAAAACAGTTGTGCTGCTTAATATTTTTGTGAAAACCCTGATAGGTTTTTTCAGTACTCTACTGAATAGAAGTTCAAAGGAACAGCAAGAATGACATTATGAATGACTTTACTGTAATTTTGATCAATTTAATGCATCCTTGCTAATTAAAAATATTAATTTCTTAAACTGCATTGTAAGGTTTTATAATAGGCAGATCTAACTTTTCTGTATTGGGGGTTCCTGGCTGAGAGTCTGAGTTGGGGGGTCTATTGGACACTGGTCCTGTGGTGGGATGTAGACTCACCTCCAGCACACGTCCACTGATGTATCTGTCGCATGTTTCACACTTTATCCCAAACTGGGCATGGTAGTCTGACTCACAGTAAGGAATGCCGTCTCTGCATGCAAATTAAGACTCACATGAATAATCACATTCTTATACCGTTACTAAAAATAAAATACAGATGCATAGGTTTGGCAAAACCGGAAAAACCATGACCTTTGTGACTATCATTATTATTATTGTCACAAAAGTCCACACCAGGAGCACCTGCTTATCAGTAAATCAAGTTTATATGCATATACATTACCGTTCAAAAGTTTAGGGTCCGTAAGGCTTTTTAATGTCTTTGAAAGAAGTCTCTTATGCTCAAGCCTGCATTTATTTAATCAAAAATACAATAAAACAGTAATATTGTGAACTCTTATCACTATTTATAGGGTCATGAAACCCCCTGTTTCAGCACTGGTTAGTTCTCACTACAGTTTTAAAAAATGCTAAAAAAGTGGGCGTGGTGCGCAGCGGAGCGGAGTGGGAAGAGGGGAGACAGACAACACACACAGCTTCGGGTTCAGACAGTTTCATTTCACTCCCATCGTGTTAAAAACACAAATAAATGCACAACCATTTGTTGTTGTGAATAATTAAGCGAAGCTTCTTCTCATAGGATAAGAACACGCCGTCTCATGAATAGTGATCGACCGATATTGATATTTTATAACCGATACCGATACCAATTATTTGCATGTTTATGTGCCCGATAACCGATATGCAGAACCGGTCATTTATAAAGTAAATAAATGACTGAGTGAAGTAAGAACATACTTCACTTTGGTTTTTCCTCTTTTCAGTCAACTTTTTTTTTAAGTGTTGAAAATTAGCAGTCTTTCATGTTAAATGTAATCTTAGTGAGTCAATTGGTCATGTGCAGTACAGAATCTGCAGACATATCCTTGCACATGACAGCAAAAAACGCACGCAATAGGCTAAAGCGTGCCGCAAAGCCCCAGCAAAAGTAATTACCTTGAATGTGTCGGGGGAAATGAGATATTTTAATTATTTATTAATAAATTTGTGTTTTCTGAGTCCGTGTCGCAAAGATGAAGACGACGATCCTGATCCTGAGAAATGCATCTTTATGGATTGTATAAAATCCGTAAAAAGAGTTTTTGTTTTTGATTCGAATTATTTAGTTTTAAAGTAGTAATTTAAAGCTTTCTTCTATAGATATATTTATCATATCTGTGACTCGTTGAGTTTCGGTTCATCATTGTGAAGCGCTCCTGGCCGAAATTGCAGAAAGCACATCCTGTATGTATCCTTTATTTTCTAAAAGCACAACATTTTGTTGATATTGTGAGTGCACAAATACAAGTAGACCCTTTACAGTTCCGAGTGATGTATTACTCTTACCTTTATGAGCAATAATTACGGCATATTTTAAGTTGTTTCCAATGCAAGTGATCGCGCCGGCTCCTCCATGTCCTGTAAAGCGCGCTTTAGCTCTCCGCACAAACGATTAGATATGCGTCTAATAGCGCACATTTATATAGGTAAAACATTTAAACTAACATTGTAATATGCTTGAATCTATATGTTTTATATCTATAGATTTTATTTTAGGCAAGTCGTGATTATTTGAGAAAGCTAAATTGATCAAACATAGGCTAAGATCAGCTCACTGTCTGTCGCTGGCCGCTTGGTCGTTACTTTAAAAAAACAAAAACATACATTTAACGAACAAAAAAATGCTCCAAACGTTTTTCTAAATTAACTTAATAAAAAAACTAAACGAAATATAATCACTTTGACATTACATACAAAACTGAACTATTTTAATAGCTGAAACAGAAGTATAAGCTGTTTTGGTAAAAGGGAAAGAAAAGAAGACGGGCTCGGGTCGGACTCGATTAATTAAGGAGAGAGAGAGAGAACGAACGAACGAACGCATGCACCCACGTGCGAGCGAGCGATTGTGAAGCATTGCAAACAACCTTGTCAGTTTAATTACAAGTTATCACCTCATTGGTGAGAAATATATGTAGCTTTTAGCTGTTGTATTTTCAAAAATCATTTCAAAACATTTAAACTAACATTGTAATATGCTTGAATCTATATGTTTTATATCTATAGATTTTATTTTAGGCAAGTCGTGATTATTTGAGAAAGCTAAATTGATCAAACATAGGCTAAGATCAGCTCACTGTCTGTCGCTGGCCGCTTGGTCGTTACTTTAAAAAAACTAAAACTGTCGGCGCCCATAGCCTTGTGGTTAGTGCGTCGACATATAGCGCAACTGCGCTCACGGCGACCCGAGTTCGAATCCTGCCTCGAGGTCCTTTGCCGATCCTGCTCCC